TATATATATATATATATATAGACACATCACACGTAATTACTCATGGCCTACAAGTTGTTGTACTGTGTACTCAATACTCAATGACCGACATTTCGTTGCCAGACTCACTGTTGTTTTGTGTTTCTGTGCAATGACAATAAAGAAAGAAAGTCTAAGTCTGTCTGTTTGTTTGTTTGTTTGTTTCCTCAAAAAATTACAAAAAAAGACCCCCATACATATTTTCAAACTACTATTCCTAGAATGGATGGTGGACATTTATCTTGTTCTCACATTTTTGTGCTTTTTGCTGTCTCCTTTCTTCTCTGACTTCTTGTGAGTTTCATAAGTATGTGGGTCCACACTCCACATGCACTCAGTCCACTTTCCATAAATGATACAACGCTTCTTTTTACTAGACAAAGAGAAAAGGTAAGGAGATAAAGCACGGTTCCAAAAGAAAAAATATTAGGATTAGAAAAAAACAATCAAGAAAAAAACAGAAATGTTGTTGATGTTGTACCTCTTGTCCTGGATGTATCCCTCCACTTTGTGCAAGTCTTTACCAAACATTCCACAAGATTTGAAATTTAACACACACTTGTCTCCCGTGCTGCAGGTGAGAAAGAAAAATATGTTTGTGCTCTAGAGCTTTAATGATTTATAAGCTGTGGTGACTTAGAGCTGTAATATAACATAAGTGGAAATTAGATTTAACATATGTAACTATGCATGAAGTTCATAATTTATATATATATATATATTTTTTATGTAAAATGTCTGCAGAAGAAATATGTAATATGTGTCATGTGTGAAAATGGTAGTGGCATTACAACGATCTCTTTTGTGGTGTAATATGATCTGAGCATGCTGATTGCATAATGTTTTATTTACTTACCTGTGGTTGACTATTTCCACTGTACCATACTGCTCTATCCACAGTTTACCTAGTATAATGTTGTGTACACAACAGTAAGGATTACTCCATGTGTATGCCTCATTGTGCCTAGAGGAGAGGAGCAGATACGGTGATGAAGTGGAATGGCTAAAAATGGTAAAAGAAAGAGAACGAATACTGACAAAAAAACTAAAAAAAAAATAACAAAAGGGTTGAGATCACAGTGATCTTCATATAAACTCCCCTCTTTACTTACTTGAGTAGCTCTAGTGTGATGGTTCCTTTAGGCTCAGCCTCAACACTTTTGCCCCAGAACTTCAACTTAGGGTAGATGGAGCCATGGAAGACAAAGTCTCCAGCCAGGTTCTCTGCATGGAAGGCACTCACAGGAGGATGATGGGATACCTGCTCTGAAACCCATCGGAAACCCTGCTCTTCTCTAAAGGAAAAATAAATAGAAGAAACAAAACCTTCAAACCTGTTACTTTAATCTCACACACACACACACACACACCTGTGTCTGTGTGTAATTACCTAATGAGCTCATAGGTCTCTCCCAGCAAAGGGTTGAAGGGTTTTCCAGTTCGGTCCCACTGAGATGCAACTGCTGACACAGCAAAAGCAGCTACTGCCTGAACACAAATACAAATATCATTATTTTTGGTGTCTGGGCAGGAGTGAGTAAGTGTGTGTGTGAGAATGAGGTAAAAGGGTTGAGACCTGCATGCGCTCTATGGAGTCAGACATAGAGCATGCTCTGTTGATGAGGTATGTGTGTTCCATGTATTCTGTGATTCTCTGGAGAAAGCTCAGGGGCTCATTAAAGACAATGGGCATTGTGATCTTGGACAGTTCCTGAGGGAAAACACAACTTCAGTGCTGTATTCCAGAAAACAAGACACCAGTCAGTTAACCTGTCAGTTAAATATTTTTACAATTGACATTTTTAGTATTTCCCCTAAACTCAAATTTTGTAGTTGTACATTTGAGTAACACCCAAGTAGCATAGCATCTCTCAGTTCTTACCAGTCCGATGCATTTTTTTAGAATACCCCAGATGCTGATGGTGTTTCGGGAAAACATGGGTGCCGGTAGCGACGTCCTGAAATAACAAAGATGAGGTCTTTCAAGAAAAGCAAGACAGAACATACACATACAGTATATAACATATCTTACAAAGAAAACAAAGAGAACAACATACAGATTTTTACAATGAAAAACCACATTTTGATCCATAACTTTGTTATGCACTCTGTTAGGCAAGATAGTATGTACACTTGGCAGGTCCACTGTTAGAATACAACCAAAACTGGTAAGACAACTGCAGCAATTATAACAGCCTATTTTGATAAGCATAACAGACATGCATTGTTAAGTTTATATTGACAAGTTTGAAATTTGACCCCAGTTGGACTGGTACACAACCAAGCTGTAGACCCAAGATGTTGTACACTTACAGTATTTGCATTAACAAAATTAACAGAATTGAAACAAGATCTTTTCTCAAGTTCTTAAAAAACCCAGATAAAACAGACTTTGCAAAAGAAGAAACAACATATAATTGACGCTTCTTCAGCTCTTTCTATAAACCACAGAAAAGAGGTTTTAAAATTCCTACCATGCCTTTAAGTTGAACTTATGATGTGCCAGTTCGCCTGCAGCTATGTTATTTTAATGCTCATGTCTCAGTTTGCTTTTTTTCAGTTTGTGTGAATGTCAAAAAACACAATTTAATGTCTGTTATCAACAACAAATTATATTCCACCGACCATGTATGTTTCACATGTCTAGTTGTGTAAAGGCCATGTCCCTGCCCACAGCTTTAATTATAATCTCTAGACAAAACATTATGCAGTATTGCAGCTACCAACAGACGAAAACATGCTCTGCAGAAAGTATGCGGTGCAGGAACAAGCAGTACCTGTGTTTCTTGATGCCATTCTCCTGAGGCACCGATCCATTGTTTTTCTGACGACTGCTGTCAAACACCAGTGCATCTTTGAAACTGGCCTCTGACACCCCTTCATAAGACTCGTCAGAATCAAGGCCTTTAGGAAACAAAAGTGATAGATGTTGGAAGTTAGAATAAACTGAAAAGGACAATGACTTTTGCAGTTGAGCAAAGGTTCAGTAAGTGTTTTCTTTAAAAACCAGGGCTAAAATGCAGCCCTTATGCAGCCCTGTATAGGAATGACAGGAAAAATTGCCAGATTGTCTGATAGATTATTTTGACAATAAGTATAACCGACTTTTTATGAAAGGAGGGAGCTCTGTGTTTAGCAATATTTAAACAATTTTATTAGAGAAATCACTAGAAGTAAAGAGAGAAAACAAGAACAAAATAGTCAGAGCTGTGTACAACTGATTAATAGGTAAATCTCATATAGGTTGTGCAGGTAAATTGCCAACATTACAGTTTCATATGATTGCAGCCAGCAGAATGTTTTGGCGGACAACTCAAACAAATAGCTGATGGCAACAACTGATGAGGCAAAAAAGACAGACACCAGATAATCATCTCTCACTACTGCTGCTCTTCTATTTCTGTTCCCATGTGTGCATGTGTGTGCAGGGAGCGGTTTTAATGCCAAGTTAGTCCAGTAGATCTGAATATGGTTTTGCTATTAACATTTTTAACATGTACAATACTTACCATTTAAATAAGGTTTTACAGTTTTATTTTCATTTCTAAGATAACAGAGTTAAGTATAGTATGAATAGAAAATCGCAGGTGTGTATTAAATTAACTGTAAATCTATAAATAGCCAGAGCATTGTATACCTTAACATTATAAATGCTCATGTTAAAGAACTGCCTTTCCTTTGCAATTATAAAAGTAGCAATAGATTTAATGACACAATGTACTAGCAATTATACTAAACAACAGGTTGCTACTCAAACATGTATTTGTATTAGTGACAGTACTCTTGTATTTGTTGTAAACACCGTCAGTAAACCTGCTGGCTGGTGTTGGTTTACACATGGGTAGCTTACTAATGCAGACACAACAAAATCATTTGACTAAAAAACAGATGGTTTATCATTTTCCAGTTGGTGGAAAAACTATGCATGTCTCATCCTAGGGAGATTTTAAATTATTAGGAATTAATTCAATCAGACTTTTGAAGAAACGCAATAATCTAATAATGGAATAAAAATGTAGGTAACTTATCTAAAAATACCCCATAGAATAAGGTTTAAGTATTATAAATTTAATTATTTTAAGAGTCCCCACAAAGAATGTGAAGATCAATGTCTTTTGACTTTTTTTACAAGCCAAAACCAATGACTAAACCTTCAAAAAAAATGCAATTGGAAGTGATAAACATACCTGTGACGGCATCAAAGAACTCATCCTCATTGCTCATCTTCTACAGTCAGGGTAGACTAGTTGTTCCTGAAAGATGTTGAACGTCTAGTACATGGTCTTGATGGTACCCCCTCACAATTTGCTCTCGAGGGAGACCAGTCAGTTCGAGTCTTTGCAGGTTCACCAACTGCCACAGTAGATTGTCCACAGGTCAATGTTCAGAGAAGGGGCCTGACAGTCTGATGATAATTATGGTGGACAAAGTAGACGTCTGACAGACCAGACGGTTCAATGTTCTGTTCTCTGTGGCATGAGGAAAATGAGTAACCTGTAGAAGTGGCAACAGTAAAAACTGGTTAGTCTTGAGTTTTAATTAACTGATTAGCTTTAATTGAACTATTAATTAAAAGTTGTTCCTTGACACCTGCTCTTCTCATTTCAGTGCAAATCAGTCCAAATACAAAGAGAAGAAAAATTTGTGGAGATTTCTCATTTCTGCAAAATCTATCACTTGTGAATCCAAGTTGATTTTTATAAATGTTAGTTTAAAAGTTATTCATTTTTAGGTTTAGTACAACACTCTTATTAAATACCCAATTCATAGTCACTAATCTTGAGGCATTAAATCTTCCATATAAAACTCTGCATGAGCAACAAGCTTCTTTTGTACCGTATACCTAGCTGAATGCAGTTTGTTTTTTCCAGAGCTTTAAGAATTACAAGCAACATAACAAGGATACAGGGTTTAGAGGAAACATCTGTTTTTCTAAGTTTTTTGAGACACCGCCTTCTAGTTCTTCACAGAAGCAATTGGCACAAATAGTCATTATTAGTTTATCTTTCAATTTGTAAAAATTGCAGAGTTTCATTTATCTTTACATACCTGTATTCTAGCCCAATGGCTGCAGCTAACTTTTCTTAAAGCATTTGGCTGCATTTGAAGACACACATCTCCTTTTCCCTTTCCTCTCTCTCACTTTTTTGAACTGTGGTAAGGTTTTACCTTTGCCAGACATAGTGTAGGTAACGCCTTCAGCACAACATTGAACTTTGTACGGCATGTTCACTTTTGATAAGGTAAGAATGGAGCACAACATTCTAAAAGCGTATTCAATAATCAACTTTGAACTTTTTTGTGGTGACAAGTTTGTTTGACTCGAATGACCCTCTTTAGGTACAGATTTTTCAAATGGTAAAGTTTTGCAAGTTTTCATTATAAACAAATTTAACAGAAGTCAACAAAAATGCCAGTGGAATAAGATGTTCCCTGCTTATCAGCAAAGGATATCTAGTCAAGAGATCAACTTAACATGTATGTAAAAAAAAAGTCCTTACAATTACACAAACTCTAGCATTTCCATGTTGTGTTGTTTTGTCCTTTCCGCTCAGGTTCATTTAATTAAAATACATATATAAAATATTTAGCAATTTACAAACTTTCGCAAAATATTCACACTTGCGTGAATATGCTCGTTTGCTTAACTTCTTGTTTGTGAACACCTACCACCCATGGCTGAACTCAATTTGCATAAGTAATTACAGTATTTATATTGCTCATCACTCAGGGCAATGCTTTACACGCCGTTGAAAGAGCTATTCAGTCCACATAGAAGAGAGAAACTAAGCAAGACAGAGAAACACAGAAAGACAGACAGAGGAAAAAGAAGGGGGAGGGAAGGAGAGAGAGAGTGAGAGAGAGAGAGTGAGATGAGAGGGAGAGAAAATGAAGCCTTCTGATTGGCTGTAGCACCCTCTCAGATCATACTGCTCTCTTTGCCTCAGAAGCCTATGAGCCGTTACGTAGTCATGACAGTCATGGCACCATGTACACTCCACTAACACACACCTCCTACTTGGGATATTACCCCATTCAGAGAAGGATAATTGTTAGGGGTGAGTGGTGGTGCATGGTTACATTTTTGGTTGATTAGACATATACTTAGCATAATGACCCAGACATTGGCAAATGATTCTTTTATATTAACTCTAAAAACCAAGTCATGTGGCTAGGCCTGGGCTGATAATCAATAAATCCATCGATCACATGATAAATGAAAATGAACTTGGGTCCAAAAGGCTCCTGGTTCGAGTCCACCAGCTGCCAAGTTACCACTGAGGCGCTCTGATGGCACCGTCCCTATACACTGCTCCCCGGGTGCTTATAAGCTGCCCACTGAAAGACAGAGATGAGAGCTGTTTCTATGTGAGATGAAGCCCATTCCTGAGCAATGAGCAGCACACCTGCAAATGCTATAACCAAACACACACCTCTTTCTTTTTTATTTCACACACACTTTTCTCAATAGGTGCCACACCTTTGCAGGCCTTTAAAATCTACCACATGATAATTTCACAAACCTACTGTAAGATACATACAGACAGAATGTTCTAACATGTAACACAGACAAAAATACAAAGGAAAGATGGGAGTGTTTTATTAACAGAAATACAACTAATGCCTAGCAGGCTTGGTGGAGCTAAGAAAGAACTTTAAGTCCCTGGTGAATAAAAAGTGTGATGTCAAAGTTAACAACTGATCCTTTTCAACCATTTGTCTTTTGAGCCTGAACTTTGACAAGGTTACACCTAAGATTTAAGTAATGATTGGAGGGAAGACGTACCCTGTGAGATTCAATGAAGGAGGCAAGACGTAAATTATTTCAGAAATTGAATTTGGTTGATAGAATGACTGAATTCTAATTACACATTATTTTCAGAGCAGCCATAACTCCAAACTCATTAAGAATTCATTTTATGCCCAGGATGCAAGCTGGGTTTTTTTTTTTTATTAAATTTGATCTATAATGGCACAACCATGTGTGTCTAAACTGAATCACTGGAATTTGCAAGTTGGTCACACAACCTGCTAAATACAGTCTGTACCTGAGGGTAGGGAAACAGAAATACATATTATATAACAAGACAATAATGGAGTACAATCAAAGTCATCACCTCACAGATATTGTTTAACTGGAGTAAAACTGAATGTAGAAAGAACAGTAACCCTGCCTTTGTTGCTAAACTAACCTTGACACAAGTCTGATCAAGTAAAAAGGTTTACCAATAAAAACAATATGATATTTGATATCATGAGCTCCACTGAGAGTCTGCAAAACCCAGCATTAATTGGGCATTCAGCCTAGTTTCAGGCACAGTCTTAGGAAGAAATCCTAAGAAAATCCTTAAAAACAGACAGTAATACAAGGTTAAAAGTTAGAAAGAAAAATTAGAGAAAGAAAATTAAATCTGGATTTTAAGAGAGTTGTGTATGAATGATTTTTTTGTTACATTCAAAAACACATTTTCTCTGTGCAAAGATAAAAGAGGGAAAAGAGATCTTTCTTTTTTGACTTCTTTAGTGACCCTCCTGCTACAGAAATGTACAAACCCACTGGAAAACAAACCTTCAATTCAGTACAGTTTCAACCAATGCTAGTACACATCAGGTTTGTAGACAGAAACTCAGCAGCACATCTCAATTTTTTGGCACGTCCAGCCTAATTAGGACACAAAAAGACATGCATTAAGAGCAAGTCTATCCACATGGTTTGGTGCTGTTTTAGCTGAAATCTGGTTTTGCTGGATTCACATTACATGTTTCATCTTTGGATTTGGTCCTGCTTAACAGAACACTTGTAGAAATTGGATTATTATTTTTTATACTGAGCGTCCAAAGCTGTTACACTCTCTAAAAGTGCATCAAAATTTGTTTTATGATCAGACAGCTCAGCTTGTTTTGAAGTGATTCTTCATGTAACACATTTATGTGTAAAATTAAGTGATAAAAATAGGTAATTAATTAAAGTATGGGTTCCCAGGCTTGATCATTTGAGAAATACCTATATAAAGTACATCACCAGTATCTATCAACATCATACTGGTGGTATCTGGAGAAGGCACTGCTGTCATCACCACCATGCCTTGCCAAAATGCATCAAAACTGACAAAATGACTACAATAGCTCTGCATTGACTCATGACTGGGTTATCTGATCCCTGTCATAAATTATACATAGAGTATTGTTTCACTGTTGCCTGGCTGGTTGCCTGGATGAGTGCAAGCTCAAACTTTGCTTATCCCAGGTGGCAACCAACACACAGCAGATATTAGATGCAAAGTAAGGTAACATCACTTGTCTTTTATAAACTGCATAAAGTGCTTTTTAATTTATTTTTTTAACATTTTCTTGACCTAAGCTGGTTTAACAACCAATGATGGTTGAGCCAAAAAAGAAAAATACTAAATTGTACACTCTGGGTTTCAGGTTTTCTTTTTACTATCTATTGTTTGGGCCACAGCAGCAACATTAGGTTATGTTGTGTTGAAATGCACTCTAGGCCATGCATTGTGAAATGTACTTCCTGTTCCCTTAAACTTAACAGAAGCAGAAACTATCTACTTTGTGTGAATGCAGAACTTTCCCATGTAAAACATCTTCACAGCCATGTTTTCTATGAAAGAGAGCTGACCTACCACGCAGTACAATGCTACTTTGTTAATGGCGATCATCAGCATAGCAACTGCCTAGGGGGCCAATTAAAATGCCTTCGGGAGGAAGATAGATAACGTAAGAGCATAATGTAGGATGTCTCAAGTATTGAATCTCACAAGCATCCTATGTGGAAACCATATGATGACAAGATAACAAGAAGACAGTCTGCAATCTAGTGTGGATATTAGTATTCTAAGCTTATCAACAAATGTGTCTAGCTTGCCTTTGCTTCTGCAGATGCTATAAATTCCTACTGGTGTCACAAAATTGTTTTATATGTATTTTACTATCTAACTTGATTTTTGGAGGTTAAGAGGTTACATATTTTGTCTGCTCTATATTTGGGTAATGTAAAGATGTATGCATCAAACACAAACAATACAGTGTGGCAAAACAATAAAATTACAAAGACCCTGAGCTACTAATGAAAAAAACAACAATCCTTGATTATACTTTTAAGCTTAATTTTGAGACGAAGTTAGATTTTTAAATTCCAAGTTAAGTTCCAAGCTAAAATGATTCTGTTAATAGTAAAGTTTTGGCACACTAAAAATAAGACAAAGGTTTACCTCAACACAAACTCCCTGCCTTTGTGTAAGAACTTTATTTTACTTCATCGAGGGTTAGCGTTTGGTTGAATAACAGAGCATGCTTCAAAAGTGTCAATGACCTAGTGCTAACAAAAACGCCCTAAACAGTTTTTGTTTCATCTTCCGCTGTTTATCAGAAAAAAGTACAATAGTCTAAAAACAGCAACTATATTGGACCTATAAATACTGTATTTAAGTAGAGGTTAAAGTGACAATACGTTATATTACATTTGTAAGTCGTAACGGTTTGACATAGTATTTTTCTTTCAGCCATTTATTTACTCTACATTTTACCTTTTATTGTCACCTTATAAAACAGACACTTATCGCTTTCATAACAGAAAGATTGTTAACAGGGCTCCCTAATTAACTCCTTAGAAAATCCAAGGAGTACGTATTACTATACTTTCTTAACAACTTAGCTGAGTATCAATGACAATGCCACTATTGGCTTGCTAACATTAGCGTATTCAGTCGTGGATTTAAAGGCGGATGACCACATTACTGACTATTTTAAACACAAGTAGTACAGCTAAACAAGCTAACGGAAATACTTTTGAATCGAAACAACTCTCGCTAACATGACCGTTTCCAACTCAGAGAGAACGTCACGGGAGTCCTTTGACAGCTAGCTTTGATGTTAGCGGGCGGGCTAGTTAGGTGGCTATCTGGCGCAGCTACTAAACTGTTTTGGATAAATAATAAAATGGTAACATTTTGTGAGTGAAAACTAAACAGAAGACTGAATGCTGGGTAGTAGAACGTCAAACAACTTACCTCAAAGGCACGTGTGCTAGTAGAATGTAGAGTCTAATCAGACAGATGAACAGGAATTTACTATTTAGTCTTTCGGTTGACACAGAAGCGGAAGTGGCTAGTTGAAGGGGCGTGGTTGAAATTTGATTGACGTCACCAAAGCCCAATTGTTTATCGAAGAGGGGATATTTCACCAATAGAAGAGAAGATATAAGGAACTATAATGCCCCCATTTTTGTTTAGGTTTTAGTTGTGATTTCACCATATTATTTGTTCTTATAATTTTTAGCTAACATTTATGGAGTCGGGTTTTAGCGTGAAAATATAATTGGTCAAATAACTATTTGTTAAATACATTACAGCATAAACAATGCTCAATCGCATGTCTTAGTTTCGTTTTTTGTTATTCACTAATATTTTGTAATCATTTATTAGTTCTACACACAAGTTCAAAAATATTGTATAAGATGCCATGTATGTGGCCCCTGAAAATCACACCCTGAACTTGTCAAATTATAACAAAATAAATAAATAATACAGTATAACAGTTTCCATTTGACCCTTTGGATAGTTTGTTTACTGTAAGATGAGTTCATGCAACATCAGCCTGTCTAGAGAATATCATCTCTCTCATTAATTATGTAGCCAGTTAGTCACTGATATGTTTGTCTTCCCTTCTTGCCAGCTGACACACAGTCATGCATAGGGTCAACATCATAAGCCCAACACAAATTCAGTGTGCCCTTACATATGAATTAATATTAATAGAATTCCTATCTTCCATATGAAGTTTTATGACCAAGACCCTTGTCATTTGAAAAACATAATGTCTGCTTCTCTAAAAAGCAGATTGTCTATTTGTTGTTTGCACAGGGTGTGGATTATTAGACTACAATTAATGACAATGAGCATTGTTCCTCTACTGTCAAACCAGTGACCAGTGTTGGTTCAAATGGTGAACACACTCTTTGGCTATCATTAGAGTTTAAAAACCATATGTTTTCATAGGATTTATAGTTTGACCTAGACTACTAGAGACAACTGGTAATTCTGCATTTAACGGTAAACCAAAAACTACTTCTAATGTACTGTCAAGTCAACTGTCAACTGTCCCCTTATCTGCCCCTTATCTGCCTGGACAGATGGCTGGTCACTTGAGTCCAGAGGAGCCAGAGATTATTTCCTCTTGGAAAGGAGTTATTTCTCGACCCTTGCCAAATGCTGCATCAATGTGTTTTGTTAGGGGGTTCCTGTGATGTTGCCTGTCATATATATTTATTTTCCTTTACTGTATATAGTTTTAATAAATAACATTGACTTACACACTGTTTGCCACAATTATCACAAGTACATGTATTCATTTGTAGAACCTCTTTAGCAATGATTTGTCATTTGTTGTTGGCTGTAACCGACGGACAAGCATTGCTCTTCCTTTTGCCACCATTACATAACAGTTGGGTGTTGCAATGAGAAGAGAAGAGAAGTGAACAGAGAGTGGGAAGAGAAAAGGCAGGAGAGGTGGAGGCAGAGACTAGCCGGACGGAAGACAGACTGGTTTTTATTCACACTCAGCGTGGGACGTACTGTTTGAACACACACGCATGCACAAACAAAGTCGAGCACTGTACATACAGCTGATCACACTGTCGTACAAACATGTAATAATGGGCTAGTGGTGTTGTCTATTAGACAAATGTTTGAATAGGGCTGCATTGTCTGGGCACATTCTTTTTTTTCTGAGTCAGCTGGAGATATAAAGGCTAAGTCTCGTTTATGTTTTCATTTGTTATGACCCAAATAGAGAGGACATGACACAGCAACAGATGAAGAAGACCTGGCACATGAAACAATTATGATGTTAACCAATTCATTTAAAGCACACACAACTTAAATATACATTAAGTCTTTGCATTAGAAATATTGAAATATTTACAGTAAATAACTGATCTCCTTATTTGGTACGAGGCTTAAAACTGCCCTTTTACATAAAACCTTAAATCACTGCCTTGTCTTTCAAATTTTGTTTTATGAAATTACTTTTGTGCTTCTCTTTGCTTGACATACTAAACTACAGATTTAATTGTTCACCACAAGAGGGAAGCACATTTCACCCATTTATCAGTGAGTTTTTACCTTTTGGCAATACCTGGGCCGTTTATTTATTTAGTTATATTGTATAAAATCTTTTTTTCGAAATGTTTCTTTCTATCTGTGGCATACAGTGCAAAAGAAAAGCTTTTTGCTGACAAACTGGCAAACACTGTTACGTATTGTCGGCTCAAATTTCATGTGTGCTCATTTGCTTCCTGTCTACAGAGTTTGAGAACAGATGTTCCTACATCTAACCCTAACCCTAACCCTCATCTGTCTTCATCATTTCTAGCATGTTTTGTGCTGTAGGGTACATCACTGGAGAAATTACTGCACTGCAAGTCAGTAAAAATAATTTAAATTGATATACATTGTACTGTATGCAGTATGATTTCACACTCAGATAAAGGCAACTTACTTAGTAATCTTAAAAAGAAATGCAAGCATGGCAAAATGTAAAACTCTTAACTTCCAGTTACTTCCAATAGACCTGATGTCTTGCAACAAGTAATGCCATTAAAGGGACAACACTGCCTTTAATGTTAACATTTTTCCCCACCTACCACCATAAATGGATTCAGTCAGCTCAGCACTGCATGACAGTTGAGGTAATTGTGTTTTCTCTGAGAGGTTTGTACTTTGTAGTTCATATTGATACCTTAGCCATCAATACATTAGCCAAGTGAATGACTCAAGTGTAGGAGTATTCCCTACTTAAGCCCTTCTTTTAACTTATCTTTATTAAATGTTTAGTTTAGTCTCCATTTGCAGCTGTAAGCACATATACATTTAACAAAATGTGAGGTAAACTGGTCAGTGTGAACAAAGCCACAGGAATCACTTTAATATGTATTGGCTCATTTATTGAGTTGTGGATACAGTGACGGAAGGTCACCGGTGAACATCACATCTCTCACAGAGGGCCGTAGATTTACACCCTTAATTGACATTTGGAGTACATTTGAACATGAATGGTTGCTGGTCTTTAAACATAGACCTGCCCAGGACTACTAATTTGTCCAGGATGTACTCTGGTCTTTAACCTGGAGGTAGGTGGGACTGACTCCAGCAGTTGCAGGTAAAGAAATTATTTTGTCTGGGAGGTAGATGGCGAGTAAGAACGATCAATGAATGGTGGACTGGGGGGCTCATTAGACCGGATGGGATAGTTCCTCCTCCTAATCCGTTTCCTCTTTTTGCCCTGAACAAAGCCAAAAAAAAAAAAAAAAGCCAGAAAATTATTTCAATGTATGCCTCATAATTTGGTAGCTGTATATCTGTCAGTAACGTATCTTATCCTTTATTATCAACATTGGGACATTGATTCAAGACACTATTTATTTGTACTGGGTCAGAGTGAAAATGGCTGTGAAAGGTGAATTTACTGAAATGTAAAACAGTGTGCTGTGGTCTCCAGGACTACAAGACTTTCGACAGCAGCATGTTAGCACAGACTATAAACCACGTAAGTCCTGGATCGATGTCAGATGTGACTTGTATTTAAAGTGAAACATACATAGTTCTGACGTGATGACCACCACGGGTATTTCTCAGCGTGGAGCTTCTTTAGATTTTCAGCCATGTCATGGTACCTGGCTTGTTCGCTGTCCGACAGCGACCTCCACTGGACACAAAGCAAGCACACTGTCAGCACACGTGTAAACAGCCACAAACGGATCAGAATTTAATTGGACAAAATGCTAATTTTATGCTTCACACAGCATTTAGTTTTTTCTTCTGTTACCACATTAAACGACCGAAAGCTTTTCCCACTCTTCACAGGAACAACAACTTCTGTGAGATGTGAGATCTGTCTCCAGACACGCTGTAGTTTTAGAAATGTAGTCTTCGACACCACTCAGTGAAAACTCGTGAACCCATCATCAAACTGAGCTGAGGATCACAAGTCAAACACATAGCAAAGACACTCACTCTCTTCCCAAGAACTGTGTTCACCAATGCGTTATCACAGGAGTCCAGTTGAGCCACAATGCTTGCCCTCTGGTCCTTCATGTACAGCATGAAAGCATTGGGAGGCTTCTTCACATACGGGTGATTTTTATCCCCATCGCTGACATGTCTGGGTGAACATAGAAAGACAGTGAGAGACCAAAGTTTACAGACCACCACCACAAACATCTTACATCTGACTTACCCCAATGTGAATAATTCTTCCGACGACGGAGGTTTTGTTTTAAGAAATGGTGTTTCTTCAGTTTCAGTATCTTCATCAGAGATCACAATGGGCTCACCTCTGCTGTTACACCAATGGAATAAGACACACGTTGGCAAGTGTAAAGAATGGGTTTGCATCTGGGTAAACTGTATTTCACTTACACTTTTTCAGTAGGTGTCAAATGATGCCCCAGGTTCTGCCCCAGGTTCTGAGGGAGTGTCATCAATTGCACGTCCTTGTAAAAACAATACACAAACAATTTACAATTTAACAATTTACATTTAAATTTTAAATTTTAGTTATATGACTGAACAATGAACGTATTTTTAGTAATTCACTCGAACCCATGTTTAACCGAAACCTATATGAACATTTAAAAGAAAGGTCAACAGGTCACAGGCTTGGGTAATCAAGGAGCTTCCACAAATCGTATGCCTAACGTGAGCAAAGGTTGTTTACAGGTCAACATTAGGAAAGTTGAACTTTAAGGTGATTCTACGGCAATAAATATATTTTATTGTCTATTTGTGTCTAAATATACACCTGTACCTTTAAACGTGACCACATCCTCCACTTGTTATTTATCTCACCTGTCCCTGGCAGGCGTCAGTGTCATCTGAAATGTCATCCGCATAATAACTGTCTGTAGCTGGCCTCTCAACAGTCAGCATTTGATCAGCCATTAATGAGTGTCCCAAGCCAAAGGGAACATTTTCCGGTACATATCCATCATAGCCATCATTCCAGCCTCTCACTGGTGGAGGGTGGGGGTCACACCCATACCCAACAGCATGGGCAGCATGAGCATAAGTCAGAGGAGGAGGGTGTGCTGGAAGATGAGGAGGAAAAAGAGGTGGCAGAAAACGCCGAGGCAGAGGAAAATGAGGAGGAGGGTTGGGGGCAGCAGCCAACACTTCATTGTAGATGGCGTGGGCTGTGTCCAGCAAGTCCTTCTCATCCATCTGGTCAATAACCCTGTGGAAGACTGAGTCCAGATCCATGCTGAAGCGATTGTTTGTGACTCGGTCCCTATAGCCTCTCATGATGTTGTCTAATATTTCCACCTGAAATTCTGAGAGATAAGTGAATGTACAACAGATAATGACACTTCACCACATCATCAGATAAAAAACACCAGGGAATTAAAACATGACAAACCACACTTTCAGAAATGCCAGTTTATATATATCACACACAAATATTCTGGAAATCAAAAGAAGAATTTCTGCCTGAAGGTCAAAGGTAAACACCTCGGCTGAAAGTTCAGTTTCTGAGCCTTCAGGTGGTAAAAACAGTTCCCAGTCTCATCATATACATTAGCAGGCCAGACTGTATCTGTCCAGGAACACAAGTGTCTATGAGTAAGAAGACTGAAAATAAATATAAGCAGTTTTTAAATATGACGTTGCTAAGAACTTATGGCAACACAGTTTTAACCCCAGTATCCTTCAGTCTAATAACACACGTTTCATAATAATAAAGAACACTGCCATTTCACTGTAAGCTACATTTTTTTGTGAGAAAGAAATGTGGAATTGGCTAACAAATGTACAATAATTTTTAGTTAAATAAATAGGAGAATATTTGTTTAAGAGGAAATGCTAACTAAAAAGAAAAAACAAAGTCTCTGTCCTTTGCTTTTCTTGTGGCTCAAATAAGTAATTCTGCTGAGGTGCAGAGATAAATCCTTTCCAACTCATGAGCAATGGCTAGAAAACATCATGTCCCACTGAAAACTGTATAACATCAGATACTTACATCAGTATTCCAGAAAGTATTCCAGAAGGTATGGGGTCCTTTATTGAAAATATCCCAGACTGAAAATTTCTATCGTTTAAAGTTTTGTTTGATCTTTGATTTATTTATTTATATACCTTTGCAGGATTCATTCAAGTAATTTTACTGATTCTGTTGAAGTGATCCACAACAGTTGGCCTCCTCATTTGGTTCCTTCTTTTAGAATGTTCCTTCTTCTGTTGATTCTTCTGCTTTTCAGAGGAGAGGAGAGGAGAGTCTTCTGCTATCCAGTTCTTTTAAGTTTCAGACAGAGTGGCTCAGAGGTTGCTACCTTTCAACTTTTTAAAAATGTAAGTTGATTTTGATTTGAAAGGATCAAAGACAGCTTGCTGCCTTTAAAGCAAAAAAGATGTTGAGGAATTGGAAAAAAAAGAGATCAACAAAAAAAATCAAAGGAATGAGAAGCAAACATTCTTTTTGCCAATTTTTTATTTACATACATTTTCATACATTATTACATTCACATTAATTTGAAACTGTCATAGAGACATCACCACCAGGGGGCGTTTTAGGCTACCTTCTTCTTCCGTATTAGAGCATTCTTTTCTGTGTTAGTGGCTTCTTCTTCTATATTAGTGCCTTCTTTTGTTCTGGCCTGACCAAAAAGAAAACATTAAAATGTGGTGACCCTGTGTCCTCATTCCCTGCATGTGTATGTGGAAATGTGTGAGGTGTGTGTGAGTAAACTTGAACATACCTGGTGGGTTTTTCAGACCATGGTTAATTCTTCACATGAATCTTCTTCAGCTTCTCAGCTTCTCTAACATATTTGGCCCGTTTTTTGGTTGACAGAGACCTCCACTGTGATGAAACAACAAACATACTGTCAACACACACACATTGACTTAAAATTATGTGCAAAAAAAAAAAAAAAAAATAACAAGGTCAATATCAAAGACACCCACCTTTTGGCTGAGGGCTTTATTGACCAACGCAGCATGACTTGACCCAAGTTCAGCCGCAACCTTTGCCCTCTCCTCCTTTGCGTACAGCATGAAGGCATTTGGAGGTTTTTTGGCACCTGGCTGACGTTCATCCTGTGCGCCCCTAAACCTTTTAGTTCTGTAAGAACATAGAAAGATGACAGACTTATGAAACTGTGAGGAAGGAAGAGGTGTAAATCCTGTTCTTGGCTGATGATGCATCTGATTTACTCTGCTGGAGTGATGGGATCAGTGGCAGGTTTAACATCAGACCCAACATCGAGAGGCCTCTTCCTTAAGATTCTACATGAAAGAGAAAATTATAATTAGTGGAATTGAATGAAATTAGTTCTAGAGACCTTTTATGATGTTAACTGTCAAACTAACTGCTGATCTGTTGTAACTGCACTAGGGACTTGCCTTCTTGGCCTTGGAGAAGAAGGTTGCACAGGAGTCTGGTCTGATGCCTGACACGACTCCACTCTACTCATGCACCATGGAAACCAAACACAAGTTTAAAAACACGTTGAGTTATTTCTAGATATAACTGGTACAGTAGGGAATATAATTGTGTGTCGTGTTAGTTTATTGTAGCATTAAATATTTAATTTTTTTACCAAAAATGTTTCCATTGAAATGTGGTTCACCAATGTTTTACTGATGTAAAAGCTGTGCTCACTTTCTTGGGTCACGTTCTTATTTAGCAGACCTACTTTATCTTATCAACCCTCGTGGACCCAAAAAGAGGCTCAAGACTCAGGCTTTTTAGAAGTTCCTTTAACCATTTGTTAACATTATTGTATGAGTGTCAGTTTGAAGACTATCAGGACTGATATAAAAACTGGTTGTAAGAATTCCAAAAGAGTCAATTCATCATGAAGGTCTTCAAGTCCAGACATCTGTGGGCCTCAGTGACTGGTCTAAAAACCACTGATACCCCTGATAAGGAAGGATCCAAGAAATCCTACCAGGTTATTAACCAAGTCCTAACTGGTGAGTCTGTTACTTACACTATTCCAGATGTTTTCTCCTCCTCCAGGTCTTGAGGAACGGTCATACAGGGCAGATCCTGGAGACACAAACATAGCTAAAGGTTGGAGTTTGAGCTCGAAACTAGAAACCGTGGTTAGACTAAATTGAGGAGCCTCACAGAGTAGAGAGTGGAACCTCACCTGTGGTCTAATGTGGCTGTCCATGGCACAGGGCAGTTGTTCCTGGTCGTTTATCAAGGGAGTTCCCATTGCCGTGGTCCTTTCTCTAAAATTCTGATCAGACCTGAATGGACCTGGTACCATGACAACGTTCCAATCACTATCATTGGTCAAGTCTACCACTGGCGGAGGCCTCATTTCACCATACACTTCCCTGTAGATGGCATGGGATGTTTCCAAAAGCTCTTCAGGATCCATCCGGTCAATAATGGATGAAAACATATTGTAATACATGGTGTGGCTGTACTCAGACATTGTCTTGAAGTTGATTCCTTATCAATCTGTGGAAAAACATTGAGTTTAATTAGTAAAATACTGTGGATGAAACGTAAAAATATCACCAATGTGGACCACAAACTGGTCCAGAAGAGTGATACTTGCCTTTTACTGAATGCTTCCTCCTGGTTCCAGGGCTTTGTCCTGACCTCCTCCTTAGTTAGTGTTTTCAGATAAAACAATTCTAGTCAAATGTCAGGGGTATAGGTCTCAGCCCCTATATACCAAGCAGTTTGATGTGCTTTTTACATTAAAGTTTCTTCTACATCAAAGCAGACTTTTTTCTGCCTCTCTAATCGGAATCTGTGGTGTGTGTAAAGGGATCAAAGACGTTTGACAGCCCAGGTCACATGACGGTCTGATGTGTTCCGTTGTTCACATAGTCATGGTTTTGTCATGTACACATGATATATATATATATATATATATACACACACACACATACATACATACATACATACACAGTATATATATACAGTATATATATATATATGGCTAAATAATGTTTTTAGATACATATCTGTGTAAAAAGATATGTAACTGCTCAATACTTGTAGTCTAATGAGTGGTTGATTAGCGTACACAATCATGATTTATCAAATACATAACTGAGCTCAATTAATCATGATTAATAACAAATCTTACTAACTATAACATAAATAACCACAGGTAGACATCTTTATTTCTTACTAATCCAGCAGTCATTTTCTATTGGAATGGTATTGTTAGTGCAAGATGTTTACAGCAGCAGAATAATCTTTCAACACCAGATGAAGACAAACCAAGCTGGATTCCAACAGACATTTTTATTTGAGAATTCTATGACAAACAGAAGGCATTTGTAATATCTTAGTTTGCTACATTGTTGCAAAAACAAAAATCCCCTGTCCCTTTAAAAAGTCCACATGGATAAAGGACCATTCCTTTACATTTGCTCTTTTTGTCCCTTCCCTCCTCCCCCCAGCCCCCTGTCAATTTCAAAATGCACTTTTCTGTACAGAATAAAAAGCTCCAGAGAGGGCTACATATTTTCTGCAGCGACCTGGTTTCAGATCAGCTGCCGACATTCAGCTTTTCTCAGAGAAACAAAAGGACAAAAGAGTAAAAATGTTTTTTTTTTCCTTCTTCTATCAAGTTGCAATACGTTGTTCAGTCAGTCTTGAAGTGAATTTGTTTAATTAAGCTTTCATTGCATTCTCATTTAATTCATGACTTCATTTTAAAAAAGGTCCATTTGTCATACGGTATAGAGCAGATATACAGGCTGTGTGGAAGTCACACTGTAGCTCATAATATATTCACAGCTGGGAATTCATGTACATATTGCCAGAACATATGAATCGTATGGAAAAAACACTAAAAGACTGAAAAGGTTCGTGTCACTTTACAAACAGATTGACAGAAACACAGGGAACTTTTGAGACCCATGGTTCGTGCCATGTGACCTGTAAGAACTCAACTGTCATTGGCTGGTGATTCTGAATGACCTGTAATGACTGTCGGCTGCGATGACTGGTGCTTATAACCTGAGAGAATGAGCACGTGTGGCTCCGGACGAATAAATGGAAAAGACCTGTGACATCAGGAGACACCATGGATGCTGAAGTTGTCCAAGTGTGAAGGATTAGTCTTGAAGTTAAGGTGGGATGGAAAGTCATAAAAGCTAAGTATTTACAAACCCCACATTCAGAAAAGTTGGAAAATCTCAAAATGCTCCTAAAATCAACATCTATGATTTACTCGATTCTCTGCTCAAGGAACAAATTTAAAAAAATCTTTAACGTGGGGTGTAAAAAAAGCAACATTTCTGTGGGGATAAATGGGGATTATAATCATGTACTGCTGATGTTAATGCTGCAGATCAACAGAAAACTGGCAGTTTGTTTCAACATCCTTGACATGGTCTCAACACGTCACTCACATCAGGTGACATATTATACAGATAAAATGTGATAATTAACAGGATCACTGAAAGAAGACATTTAACTAAAGTGTACGTCTCATTTTACACTCATTAATGATCCGTTCATGCTGACAATAGTGACAGGAAATTGTTTTTGTTGGTTTTTTTGCCACAAAATACACGTTTCCGTTGTGTAAATCACACAATCACACATCATTCTGCACCTACGTACTCCAAGGCCACGAGAACAATTCCAAATTTCCTGTGTTGGAATTGTCATGCAGTAAAGTAAAGGCACGAACATAACCTTTAAAGAAAGACTGGAGCTTTTCAAACTCTTATTCTCAATATTAAACAGCAATGTTGCATTAGCTGCAGTTACTGTTTGGCATCTGTGCTTTTATTTAGGAGTGACAAAGATATTTGCTCTATTTCCCAACCGAAATATCTCATATTTTAGATGAAAGAAGCAGTGCCAGACAAACTTTCCTGCTTCTTTTTGCTGCTTACATTGATAACTAATGTATGCAACACTTTTATCACCAATTATTCTATCTATATAAAGTGGTTTATTTCTATATTTGTACATATATTTTCCAATATTTCCTCAAACAAAGCTCATGACTTTGCATCTCTAACATACATCACTGATTGTCTTTGATTGAAAACCTTGACATTTGAGATTGTAGGCATCTTCAAATTTGTGTGCCTAAAATGTTGAATCGTATCTGTCGTTATACTATATTTAAACTGACAAGTGATGTTATGTAGTTTCAGTTCACAAAAGTCCAGGAATTTTGTTGGTTCTTAATATTTAGCCAAATCACTGACATAGATGCAGCGAACCACATGACGACACAGGCAGTGGTCGTCGATTGAGGTCGTGAAAGTTAGAAAAATAAAAGTAACCAATCTATAAAGGAACGGATGTGGACTTGACCTCATTATCTGTGCTTTTCAAAAAACTCTTGAAACATTTGAATGAGTTTAATTTCACTCCTGTGGTCTGAATCAATCCCACTTCTTGGCTTGAATAAAGAAAGAAAGAAAAGGCTTAAAAGCAGCAGAAATGTGGTCAGAAATCAGTCGTACTATTTCAGTAGCTTTGGAAGCAGAAGTTGGATTTGTCCCAGCAGTGAGGACAGGAAGAGAGAGAGAGAGAAAGAGAGAGGGAGAGAGAGACAGCGAGTGGTGTTTGGACTGTGGGTTTTCCTAAGTGTGTTATTTAAATACATGCACTATTACGTTAATGCCCTATTTTAAACTGCTAAGTCATTCAAATGTGCGTTTAAACGGATGAATGTATCCGTTCGGTCGATGCGTCATGGAAAGCCTCACTCTCAGTAGCACCATGATAACTTAACCCAAGGCTAATAATCAGTAAAAACATTTATATTCAAAGCAAAAAAAAAAAACAAACAAACAAAAAAAAAAAACGACAAAAATAATTTACCCTCCAAAATACGACGACCCCTGGTACGAAAAAGGAATAAAGTCCTTTTTCTGTAAAATCTGTAAACCTTTTTATCCTTTATCTGTACTTGGATATAGAACTCAACCTGATTAGAAAACATGTGCATCAATTCAATTGTAATCACCTAAAGAAAAATAAAGGCCTGCTGGGATTGTTTTCGTATGGAGTCCAGTTTTGGTGTGAGCTGAGTAACAGGCAGTCTGACAGGCACTTTGAGGATTTGCAGGTTGTTCAGTAACACAATAACATGCAAACAAATAAAAAAGGAAAACAATTGTTAAAGAAAAAAAAAAAAGCTTGTTGCCAGCTTTTCCATTTAGGTAATAATAAAAAAACATTTAAATAACTATTAAGTGAGTTAAGATTTGGAGTGTTGTGATTTTGTTACAGCACCACATTTTTTTTTCACTGTACCGCAGTAGCTCTAAAACACAAGGCTAGTTTCATTTAGGGAAGGGGGAAAGAGGAATTTCCGTTTCTGTGTTTACTGGACGGAGAAAAGACAAACCGCAACATCAGAAAAGTGGAATATGAACTGTCGAATGTAGACATTAACTTTACACACGTCACAGGGACAAGAAGAGCTTTGGGTAAAAACTGGAATGTCATGACTGATGTTCTTTATTCTGGTTGATGGTGAAGAGGTTTGGACACAGAGTCACTATTTTCCTGCCTCCCTGTTATATTACATCCTTCAAAGCAGGACTGTCAAAAGGTCTAAAACATAGTAGAGCAATTGGTGGTGGATTTAGTCATTGAAATGCAAAATATTCAGCTGAAACACAGTACTGTATTAAATGGAGGTAAAGCTGTACCTTGTACAATACAAGCTAAGTCTATGAATAAAAGTTTAACTATACAATTAATAATTTCATGTTTTAACAGCAGAAGCACACACATCTATCTGCTGTCATTCTGTTCCTGCAAAATAAAGACATTTTTTTTAGCTATATTTAGGAATGTTAATTACTCTCAATTAATAATGATTAATTGAGAGTAATTACAATTACAGTTAATCATGATTAAACTTAATTAATCCACAGCTACCCTGTAACAAGTGCTCCTTTATTAGGAACTGTATGGCTTGACCTTTTTATTTGACAAAATGCAGATTTATTCTCTGCGACGATGACAGGTATTTAACGCAATCGCAGTTCGTAAAATACGTAACACAAGCCGCGGCCTTATATCTGTGAAATAAAGTAATGAAGAATTGAGGAATGATCCGGTTTAAAATCTCCTGTTGCAGAAGCAGCTAAATAATGTAATAATACAGTACAATAGCTTAAAGTGAGCAAATAAATTAAAAATGCCAGAATCTGCCTACAATTAGCTATGACTTAGCCAGAAGACACAACACAACATGTTATATAAGTTAAAAGATTTATAAAGTTAAAGTTTATTATCTACATTAAGGTAAAAATTCATGTTTGACTAG